TGGGATGCGGCAGATGGAACTAGAAAGTTTCATCTAGTGAATTGGCAGACAGTCACTTCCCCAAAGAAGTGGGGTGGACTTGGAGTAAAAGATCTCAGGGTATTCATAAGAGCTTTGCTGGGGAAGTGGTTGTGGAGATTCGGGGTAGAAGAGCTGCTCTATGGAGGGAGGTCATAGCAGAAAAGTACGATTCCACGGGAGGGGGTTGGAGGACCAAGGCAATCACAGCACCGTTCGGGTGTGGCATGTGGAGGAACATCATAAAGAACTGGGAAGCTTTCTATGGCAACATCACTTACAAGGTGGGAGATGGAAGGAGAATCAACTTTTGGAATCACAGGTGGTGTGGAGAGGCTACTCTGAGGGTCTCTTTCCCCCACGTCTTCAGAGTTTCAAACCAGAAGGAATTGATGGTCCAACAAATTCGCAAGGAGCATGAAGGGGGATAGTATGAGACCTCTCTTTTAGAAGGAACATGCAAGATTGGGAGATTGCGGAGCTCCAAAATTTGTTGACACTGCTATACGGGCAAGACATGTCCCATCCATCTAATGATTCTTGGAGATGGGGGTTGCGTGGCGATAGTTTGTTCACCGTAAAGTCCTTCTACCAGAGTATGTTGGTGAGAGAGGAGACTACTTTCCCATACTCATTGATCTGGATTCCTAAGGCGCCCACGAAGGTGTGTTTCTTTGCATGGCTAGCAGCGAGGGGAGTGATCTTGACATCTGAAAATCTGCGAAAGAGAGGAATTACACACGTTAGTTGGTGCTACATGTGTAAAAGCTCAGGGGAAGAAGTTGATCATCTTATGCTGCATTGCCCCGTGTCCTGGGGTTTGTGGAGGGCAATCCTGAATCTTTTTGGTGTTCAATGGGTGATGCCAAACACTGTAAAGGAAATGCTATATAGCTGGGCCGGTTTCCATTGAAGAAGCAAGCAAAAGGCTTGGAAGTTCGCCCCGTTAGCTCTCATGTGGTTAGTCTGGGGAGAGAGAAATAGGAGAGTTTTTGAGGGGATTGAGTCTCCGTTTTCACATCTTAAGAATAGTCTTTTATCTTTGATCGCTTTTTGGTGCACACATATAGCCCCTACTTGTGTAGAAGATTGGGCGTCATTTGTAGAGAATCATGTTCTGATGTAAATTCTCTACCTTTTGTATGCTTCTTGTATGCGGGAGTTTTTTTTCCCTTTTGATTAATACAATTTACCTTATAAAAAAAAAGTGCTTTTGGGCTTGTTTTGGTGTTTGACAAACTTAAAAATACTTTTAAGCCAAGTGCTTTAAACTAAAATAACTCAAAACAAGCCAAAAACTATAAGTTGGTCCATCCCAAGTTATTGCTTTTTGGCTTAAAAGTACTTGGGGTTTGACCAAATAAATAACAGTTTTATCCCTCATCTTTCTTCTTCTCCACCTATATAATGATTATACTTGTCATTGCCGCAATTACTATCACATCGAGTGCTCCATTTTGTGAAGCTTTCTGCAACTTCTTGGAATGACTATCCGCAATATCTTTAGTAATTTACATCATCCTTCAATATATTTGAACACCATATCCTAGCTTCTGATTGAACTTTAATTGATTTTGGCTTCTCACCATTCCATTACATTATTTTGAGTCATTTAATAAAAGTAATTATCTGATCAAAGGGAAAAGAAACATCTAATCAATAAAATTAATTTTATCTAATAAATCTTGTAACGTGAAATAAAATGCAACCTAAATTGACTTGTACTAAAATTAAAATTAGTACAATATCTTTAGAATTAAAATTTTGCAGTAATCAATTCATTTTTGATGTTGACATCTTTAAGGGAATTTTGGTCATTTTGATAGAAATAAGTATCAGCACTTTTTCACCAAGCACATCAACGGCTTATTTTCAACTTCAACACTTCTAACCAAACACGTAACTGCTTTTTAAATTCAACCCCAACACTTCAAAAATGCTTTTAACCCAAGTGCTTAAAAGCTAATCCAAACGGGCTCACGGTTACCTGATACGTGAATCGGTGGGAGGTGTTGAAGATATAATCAAGTAAATAAATATGTACTTTCTTTGACAATTTAAATTTTCGATGAGGTGATCACACAAATCAACATGGCATTAGAGCAATCAGAGGTCATGGGTTTAAGTCTCACCGCCCATTATCATAAAAAAAATTCACGTGTTTGACCATGAAAAATAATCATGCGCGCATGTGAGGGAGTGTGTTGATGACATGTGAATTCTCAAGTGTTGACCCATGAAAAATAATCAGGCATGCTAGTGAGGGAGTGTGTTGATGACTTAATTAAGTATGTGTTCTTTCTTACAGTTTAAGCGTTTAGATGAGGTCATCACACATTCAACCAGAAGTAGCAGGTACTTTGGTGAATTAGATGAAGTGCACGCAAGTTAGTTCGGAACAAACCATAATTATAAAAAGAAAGTCGTACTAACCAAAGACAGGACGGATACAAAGTGGAAGAATTAATTGAGGAAATACCAAAATTATCCCTAGAAGGTCCGTGCCATTTGTATAAATCTTTGTTGAATAACTTAGGGATTTACATGGCGTTTCATGAGATACATGTTTTTTCGTGCACTTTTCACATGCAAAATTACATTGTCTTGATGCCGACTCCCTGGTGGTTAGGTTCTTCAATTTTTACTTAGATGTACAGGTTAAACCTGTATTGCAAAACAAGGTGGATTGGCAGAGAATAGCCCAGGCCTCATTTTCTGGGAATAACTTAGCTGTTATATAGGTAATAATTGATGTGATTGCATCTTGTATTTATGCGCAACCGGTGTCTATTTTATGTTCAGTGATCCGAAGATTTTGTTCATTTGTGGGACGGACCCCTAACAAAGTGTTCAACTTAAAAATTGCTCCGAACAGTACTGCTTTGATGGCATTCTCCTTGTTTTGACATGAATAAAAAGAAAGGATGTGCTTTTATTTTGCAGTTATGGTGCGAACAATTCTACCAAGCACCATACCACCATCATACAGGGGTGCAACCATTCGTTACCTTTACTATGTTAGAAGTATTTTATCTGGACAATACTTGATGATGGAAAATGGTCACTTCCGTGAAGAATCTATACGAGATCTTGATGAGCTGGTTAGTTCTTTGCTGTTCTGTTCATCATTCATTTATACTTATCATCCTTGTTTGATTTGATTTTCATATTTTGTCAGCTTTCAGGAGCATTACCCTGCTCTTTTATGGCATGCTCTTGTAATTGCATGTCTAACTTTTCTGCGTCTTTCTCATAGTCATCCCAGCTTTTCCAGAGCGCTATGTGGTCATTTGCTTTACTGTTTAACCATTTTTCACGTTTCTGACAGCTCTACGACCTTTTGGTCAGCAGCTTGTCAATCTTGAATTAATTAAGAATGCAACTGTGTTACTGTTTACATTGATGGGCATTGTGCTTTGTTTTCAGTTTCTTTTACTTCTGGTAATAAATCAAAACGGAATTAAGAGAAGGTGATCTTATCTTAAGCTTCTGTTTCATCTGTATGCAAATCAATGTCTAGAAAAATCATATTCAATTGTGGAAAAGAAACTGTCCACCTGAAATACGAATAATACATTTAATCATTTAATACGAAAATTTTATTGCTTATAATGTATCCGCTAGCAAAACGATATAGAGAAAAGCGCTACAACTCCCAAATTTTTCTCTGATTCTTCTTCTTTTCGAAGAAAAAGAGGATTTGATAAATCTATATTCCTCTATATTCCACTCACAGATGATGTTAAGGCTTGTGTTTTAGTATCAATACAGATGTGCAATAAAGCTTGAGTGCTGAAATTAAAATATTCTTACCATTTCAACAAAAAAAAGTGCAATAACTGTGCATAAGTTTTTTTTCTGCTTTTGGATTCTACTATTTTCTGAATCTCAACCCGTGCAGGAAACGAGAATACCACTGCAAATATGGGTAACTCAGAAGAGTAATGGCCTGAAAAGTGAAGAAGGCCGCACTTGTGGTAATATTTTCTTGTTTTAAACTTTAAAACTTATATAATCTGTTCTGGTTCGTGATTTAGCTGTTGAATTTTGTGTAGAAAACTTTAAGTCTAACATCCTGATGAGGTCATTGTTTCATTGCAAGATATCTTCAGTAACACGGGAATACTGGGGGGTGGCTAAAATGATAGAGACAAGAAACAAAGTCGGAATATTTGGTTCTTTTGTGGAGCCATAATATATCCTTGTATTGTTGCATACATGGTTACTACATTATATTTGAAGTCGTAAAATACCTACGAGCCCCTTCAAGAAAACCACTGTTTTACTAGTATTATTATATAAGGACTTTTCTGAAATCTGTTTATCTGGCTGAACTTTCTTTTCCTCTGACCAATCTTAAATAATCCTACTGTGATGAGAAGTCAAATGATGTATGACTATACTTACTTTGAATTACCTTAACATGATATGCTGAAATAATCATTTTTTAAAGGTTGTGTAAATGTTTTTTCGTTCTTTTCTTTCTTGGTTTCTCAGTTCTGAAAATTCAACGCTAATTATGTATTTTGGGGAATACTTATTTTTACTTTGACCAGTGGCATGATCACATTATGCTTTTCGATTTAACAGGGATTGTTCCTGCTTCAACTCTGCCTTTGGATGTTTATTGGAAAGAGATGGATGCAGATTCTGATTGGGTAAACCATTCTGTTGCCAGTTATCTTTGTTATTCAGTAGGCTTCTTGTGATTAAAGAAAGAAATATTGACTGTATAAGGATTCACTAGAATTTGAAAAGATATAAAATTAGAAAAGATGGTCCAATTTGTAAAAGATGATATTCCAGGGAATATTACTACAACAACAACTACGAACAGACCCAAATGTTTCCAGGGAATAGTTGACCTGAGTATTTTCATCCTTTTTTCATTCTTCTCCTCCGTTCCAATACTACTACAACAACAACTACGCCTCTGTCCTAAACAAGTTGAGGTCAGCTATATGAATCTTCACCATGTTAGTCCATTTAAATCATTTCATACAACTAAACTTGAATAGCCTAATGTCCTCCCCCCAGACTATTGCTAGCCATCCTTAGGCATATATTCACTTTCATTGTAACTTTTATTCGCTTTGTCTCTCTCTATGAAGGTATGTAGTGTGTTTAGTGCTCTCTCTTTTTCTTTTCTTTTCTTTTGGGGGTTTAGAATTGTGTGTTTCTAGAAACTCCTATCTCCAAGTCACCTATAATGGCGAAGACAAACATATAGTGAGAACTTTGCTTCTACTCTCCTAAAGCTACGAGGCATGCAAGTGGAGAAGAGGACTTTTTGAATCTTCTCCATTTCTTCGTCTTTTTAAATAATAAAAAAGAATTTTTATTAAAATAGATTAAGAATACAGAGAAGAGGACTGTCAGGCTAGGAAAAAAATAAATTACATATTTGGAGCTCTTCAGTCTTGTTATTTGATTGTGAGGTTTTATCGGATTTTGTTGCACTGTCTAAATATCAGGCAATTTGTCAGGACTAGAACCCCTTGACGCCATAGGCCCTCCTAGAAATGATTAATTCAATTAAAACATTTTTTACCAATAGAGTTCAAATTAGGAGGATAACTGAAACAAAACTTGCTTTGTTCAGCATAAGTGTCCCAACATTATAGCAGTCAACAGATCTAGCATTAACACTCTAGAAGTAGATTTACTTAGATTTGGTTAGCCGTTATCATTTAGGAATAGAGCAAGGTCCGATATTGCATGAAATGTTAGAAGATGAAATGAAAGAATGGAAATGGTGACCTTTTAATTTCCTGGAGACTTCAGAATCTAAATATCCGCTATGTCATGGATGTACACCAGGAAGAATGGACGAGAGAGGAAAATCTTTCTTCTTCAAAATTGTACTTGCCAGAAAACAGTGTTAGATTCTTGACAAGCAGCCCCCTCTTTAATTCCTTTTTTTTTTTGAGAAGGTAACATATACCAGTATATTAATAAATCTTCAGCACAAAACTTATGCTGGAAGACAAAAAGATGTTTACATGAAACTAAAAAAAGCACAAAAATTACAATCCTTGCTCTTTCTAAGGCTTTTAGATTGATTCTAAATCAACACTATATTCTGTTTTGCAACAAAAACAAAAAAGAAGAAGACAATTCATCTTAATCTTCTGAATAGGGCTGATTGTATCCTCAAAGCATCTTGAATTCCTTCTTTTTGGCAATTCCCTCTCTTTATTTTGTTCTGCTTCTTGTTTCCTGTTTCTTTTTCCCTGGCGGGATTGGATTATGCCAATGCAGAACTTTTAGTTAGTAGTTTATTGTAGGATAATCAAAGAGATACGAGAACAAAGAGGTTAACTGGATAGAACTTGTTGAGTTGTTGACGAGAATTTGTGTGTTCTGCAGGCTAAAATAAATGAAACTTTTGATGGTGTGGAGGAAGGATATGAAAGTTCAAGGGATGAAGTCTCATCAGTTTCCTCCTATAATCCCATGAAAGATAATATACACCGAACATTTGGAAGTTCATTATCCTTGCAGTCTTCCTTAGCAAGGTCTTCAAGCAAAGATCTTCCACATCTTGAAGGACGGTCGAGCATATCTTCACAACTGGCACTTCCACAGATAGCTGTGGCTGATGTCTTGTATGATTCTAATGGGGGTAAGACGAACACACACATATCTACATGCATATGAAGCGTCATTTACCACTGAAGTAGTTTCAGAGAATATCATTAGTCTTAGAAAATTTATTCTCCCTCTGTCCCATTTTATGTGAAGGAGTTTGACTGGCCATAGAGTTTAATAAACTTTTGACACATAAGCTAAATATATGCGAAGTACCAAAATTGCCCTTACTACCAATAATCCCCCTTAAAAGAATGAACTTTTATATCAACTGGGTCCAAACAAGTAATGTCATTAAGGGTAAAGTTTGGATGCTAATTTTAAATAGTTTACAAATAGGAAGGTGTCATTCTTTTATGGACAGACTAAAAGGGAAAGTGTCACATACAATGGGATAGAGGGAGTATGTGTTTTCATGGTCCGATAGGTATCTTCGAGGAAATTGACTTTTTTATTTCTATGCCTTTTTTTCACAAAATGGAAATGTTACAATTCCTCTTAGTCAAGCTGACAGTTTTATCTTATTTTAAGCAAAAAAGAACTGAGGGTTTTATTTTATTCTTCCAGCAGATGTTTTGTCCCCCAGCAAGTCTTCTTCTTTCGTCTCTCCAAGTCAACAGCTGAAAAATACCAAATCCTTTTCCAAATATGATGATTCAACAGTACCTTCTGTCTCAGGCATGGGTGAATCTGGAGCATGTAAATCAAGCTTGCACTCAGATCTAAATATCTAGTATTTGTTCCCTCCATACTCTTTAAGTGATAAAAGATCCTTGATGATAATCGTTTACCAACATTTACTGCAGCAGAAGGGTTTATTCGAGGGAGGTCTTACAACATTAGACTGGATGACCAAGTGCTTCTAAGGTTTTCTCCAAAAAATTCTGAGTCGACGTATTACTTCAGTGATATGGTAATTGTATTATTCAGTGTCTTGGTCCTTCCATGTTAGTGTTATCACCAATGCCTATTTGCATCAGACTGGCTGGAACCTTACCTGTTTTTTATTGTTTTGCAACAGATAGGTGGAACCCTGACCTTTTTTCATGAAGAGGGTTCTAGAAGATGCCTTGAGGTAGTCTTATATATCAAAATACATGCTTGGAATAAGGCTTAGACATATGGATTATTATCAGTTTATTGTGCGCTCTGGAGTTTATTGGTCCTTTTTGTTGCCTTCTAGCTTTTAATAACACTGGAGATGACCGAGACTATAAGCCGACGGTTTGTACATCCTTCACGGAGACATGCTCCTTCTATTACTAAGGTATTCTTTAAGTGATTCTAGTATTATACCTGTTGATGATTCTTTACTACTCTTTGCATTTGATAAAGCAAAAGTGTTTTGACGGATTTTATCTGGAAAGAGATAAATACTTGAGCCCCCCTTCATTTGGTGATTAGTAACCAAAGCAATTTGAATTATGCAGGTTCATAGTGATCATCATGAAGTGGTTGCTGATTTAATTCAGACAAGCTTTATTTTTTCCATTCCGATGGATGGTCCTATGTCTTTTTCCACTCATTATGTCTCCGTACAATGGGCTCTTCGATTTGAATTCTTTACCACTCCCAAGAATGTTGACTGGTCAAGGTATGACCATTTTTTCATGTAACAGGAATGTTTTGCTGGATTGATAACATTGCATGAGTCATTGATTAAAGACTGGAGTTCTGTTTTGAGAGGGTGCAGATAAAGAGTAAAACACATAGCAGAACAGTAATCATACAAAAGGGCTTGTAGACTTACTAAAAAGCTGAAAAAAGATCATGAACAATCAAAAGGGTCTAGAAGTACATCTGCTCTTCAACTACTTAAATGGCCTCTTATTTCCACCAAATATAAGGGATATGAGAAATTTGACAGTGAGTTTGTGCAAAAAATTATTCTGATTCCACCTTTTATTTCTTTCATGCCTGAGAATCCATGTAGAATATGTGAGCTGTTGAATCAAATTGCAGACTATTAGTTATGTACTACTGATCTCCATTTTAAGGGAAATCATGAAGAGGCTAAAGGCTCAATTGTCCATGGCTTAACCCTTCGGAATAAACAAATGCCAAATTCTCTAGGAAACTCACATGGAGAAGAATATTTTATCACTTCTTCCTTCAAACGTAAGTAGCACTGGGTGTCCAATCTTGTACCTCTTTTCATAATATCATTTGAGGTAATGGTTCATGAACCAGTGCCCAGCAAATGAAAAAATGATCATGATGATGGTCTCCGTCTTTTGACAATTATCCTAGGATATTGAGTATTGCTAGGATGGTTCTTAAGTTAGAACCTTTAACAGGAAATACTCTCTTGCTGTCAGTAAAAAGGGCAGCTCGGTGCACTAAGCTCCTGCTATGCGGGGGGGTCTGGGGAAGGGCCAGACCACAAGGATCTATTGTATGCAGCTTACCCTGCATTTCTGTAAGAGGTTGTTTCCATGGCTCAAACCCGTGACCTCCTGGTCACATGGCAACAACTTTACCAGTCACGGCAAGGCTCCCCTTCACTCTCTTGCTATCAGTATCTAAATTAAAGTGGATAATCAAAGACACCTTGAGATTCTACATGATTAAACTTCCAATCTTCTCTATGTCAAAGTGGGAACTTTCTTGACATAATTATTTCTAGTGAATCACAGAAGGTTGAAGCATGCTCTTAGTTTGTTTAAATAGTTGATTCAATTTTAAAGAGAATATGGTAATGAAAGGAATTTATATGGTCTAATCAAATGCACCATAGTTGTAATCTTGACATGCTCTTCTACCCTCTTCGTTCGCCATGTCCTGATTCATCCGTGCAATGTCTATCTGATATTGTTTGTAGATTTTCCTTCGTACTTTGGTATTTTTCCTTGAATTCACTAAATTCTCAAATTTATCCCTCTTTGTTTCTGAAAGTGCTTCATGTATAACATATCAGATATGAGCATCCTCTTTTGGTAGAGGGTAGAGAGAAGTGTGAGTGGGTACTTCCAATAACTGTGCATGCACCTCCTGGAGGAGCTGCTGCAGCTCAGACACGAAATGACAAATCATTCTCTTTGGAACCCCTATGGGTCCACACATAAAGGTAAATGGAACTCTCATTTTCTAATCCAGCTGTTTTAACTTCTGATTGATATGTACTTTGTGAGATGTTGTTTGTTCTTGGTTTCTCTTTTCCACTGTCTGATGTACGTATTGACTCGTATTCACCTGGAAGATATGATCTAGTCATAGTTTTCTTGATCAACAAATGTACGTGTAGTTTCATATAGCTATTAAGCTGATTTTTGTATGCCATTTAGGGAAATATTGTGCTAATTGCTCTGAAATTTGAGAAATAGTTGCAGTTAGCTCCTCTATCTTGCTTGACACACGTAATGTCTTAACTTCTGAATGTTGTCATTTACATTGGGATGTTCGTAAGCATTATGATTATATGCTAAGGAATATTTTTCTGGTCCCTTCAAAAGCCATTGATCTGAGTGTTACTTTTAAAGACTTCTGGGCATTTTGTACCCTTACGCTTGTTCTTGACAGGTGAGGTAGTTACATATTCTGGCAAATCTTGAGAGCTAATCTTCCAAGAAGAAGTATTTACGCGTGGTTTGACACTCCTAATTTTAGCACCTTATATCCTTGAAGTCAACTTGATCTTGTTAGAAGTCAAGGTCTTCGGTGCCAACACAATAAATGTGCAATAAGTGCACCATCATCTTTTATTTATTCATGCTTTCTTTGTTTATTTATTGTGTATACGAATAAGTTCTATCTCTATTTTCTCCTTTCTCTCCTCCAACTTTTCACGTATTTCATTTTGGACGGTTAGATGTCGCAAATGCTAACCTACAGTTGAACTAAAGCGTCATTACAAGAATGCATTTGTTTTGCTATTCTCGTTAGAGACAGCAACTGTGTTGTATTATGTCTGGAGATGTGGGATTCACTCGATTATGTTTAGGCATTTTTTGCAAATCTCTTCTGCAATTAGCATTAAAACACTTTTCTTTTTGAATCTTATAGGTATACACATTGCTAGAAGATAAAATGCATGGCTTCACAACTGTACTGAGCTAGAAAGCAACCCCTGGAATTTGTGTACCAGGTTCTGATGTCAGAAAGAATGAGTGGTGACTGAGATTCAGTATTATTGTATTTTATTCATCAGTAGATATATTTCTCATTTCCAATCTTTGGCATGTCGTTCGTTCCTTCTCTTTAACATCATTTTTATGTGATTAGAAATATGCTTCACCTTTTTATTTTCTTTTGATGATATTCTTAGAGAAGATTTTATTCCGGGAATCATTACGTTGAATGTCATTATGTATATGATTAGAAGAGTCCAGTGAGGTAGGATTTTATTGGAAATACCATGCAACAGTATATTATAATTTCTAATTCATGGATTAGGATCTGATGTTTTGAGAATTTACTATTGCTTTAAAGAGGAAGTCTTCACGAATGTTACATTTACACTAAGCGGTGAAATAGGTTTTCTATAACATACAAGCAAAGGGATATCAAAGGTCAAAATGCACTTCGATTCCAAGCATTGCCTGCAATTGTTATTTTTTTTGTCCAAACACTTTGGTTTTGTTTTATTTTTGAAATTAAAACATAATAATCAAAATACAACATAAATTCTCTTACAATAATTCCAAAGGTACACCATTTTTGATCTTTTGAAAATTCTCAAAACACCGATCTTTCGCCTTTCGTCCAGATTCTTTTCTTAGACTCCACAAGAAAAGAATGGTTCACTTGGATAGGAAGGCTTTTGCTTCACGTATTTTTTTTCTTGGATAACCTAAGTCGATGATCTGAACATTTCGTTGAAATTATGTATAAGAGGTCGTCCCTTAGTGAATTGATTCGAGGATAAATTGGTAGTGGCATATTTATTTTTTGTTAGAAAAAAACATGTACCATTTGTTTGTGGCATTTATTAAAGATGAAAATCTTGACATTTGATGGGTTAAAGGTAGATTAAATAATCAGTTCTTGGCTAAATTGTAAGACCCCAACTCACTAGTAATATTATCATTTTTGGGCTCAGGCTTGCACCAGCGTCATTAGGGTAAAAGGCATGCTTCCTTATGTAAGTAACATTTCTCCTCTATTTGGTGTTATATAAACCCCTCTCTTAGGGACTCAATGTCGTCGTTGAGGTGTGGCCCACCATTACTCAATGTTGCATGCGAGTGGCTCCGATATCATTACAACTAACACACTAGTGATATTATTATTTTTTTGGGCCTAGACTCGCACGACTTTAGCCTAAAGACATATGTGTTACAATAATTGTTCTAAGTATCACTCTATTGTTATATAGAAATCAACAATAGTAACTTTTTCTTTTATTTAATTATTAAGGTAGCAGCACCTTGTTCCCCAAAGTTATTTACTACTACCTCCGGTCCAGAATAAGTGATTTTTTGGATGTTTTTATACAGATTAAGAAATCCACCTTTTAACATTAATTAACAATGAAATTAACCATATTAACCTTTACTATCTCTTCACATAAATATCTCTAACACATACTCCAACATTATTTACTCCAAGGGCAATGTAGGAAAAAAAATAATTAATTCATTCTTAAAATTTGAAAAAATCACTTATTTGGGACCACAAAAAAAAGGTCAAAAATCACTTATTGTGGACCAGAGGGAGTACTAATTACTAAATAAACAAACCAAACGAATCACAAGCCTCATGTACAAGTCAAAGCGAGAAATATTAAAATTAAGCAGTACTAACCTTTGTAAATTTTATTGGAATTTAGTTGTAAATAAAGTTTATATCTTAACTCCACCAAAGTATAGTCCAGAAATAAATAAATATTTTATTAGAAAAACGCAAAAAAGAAATTTACTTCACATTTATCTTCATATACATTATTATTATTAAATTATAATTAATTAATTAAGACTTAATTATAATAAATTAATATATCTTTAATGTAGAAATTAGGTACTGGCAAGTGTTTATTAACAAAACATCTTAAATACCACCGTTATTTAAAAAGGAAAAAATTAAAGAATTCACCAAAGCTCAATAGTAGGACGGGTTGTTTAGTATGTGGGATAAGGGATAATAGTTTCAGAACTAAATGCAAGAATATTTTATGTTTGGTTGAACTTTGGAATTTGGGATTAATTAATCTCACAATTGAGTATTATTCTATCTCACATTGAGGGTGAAATAATAGTTTGGAGATTAAGTAATCCCCAGATAATTACTAAAATGACAAAGATTCTATTCTCCAAGGCTGGTTCCCCAAAGTCTTTTAAATAATCCAAGGTTAAAATTAAAAATAAAAGTTTATCCCAACTTATCTTATACACCAAACATATGTTTAAATTATCCCTTAGAATATTGTATATCCCATTTTTAGTCCAATAAATCTAACTTTTTCGAATAAAAATATATTTATTAAATTTATTCTCCGAATTATTATCTCTATCATTATAATTTCGGATAACTTGTTTGGTACCAAATGACCCCTTAGAATATTGTATTGACCAGTAAGACCTGCTGATCTGTTTCTAACATTTGACAGTCATCTCATCCATGTAAAGCCAATCTGTATTTTTCCTTTCTGCATCAATCGCTAATTATTATATTCATATTTATTCAATCCTCATTTAAAAACCAAATCCAACATTAAAAATTCTGCAAACAAAATCCACAGTCTTGGAGGCAAATTGGGTAATAAAGCTAATCTTTAAGGACACCATTGAAGCTTCAAGAACCCCTCTTTTCAGGTCAGTATTTTATGAAATTCTCCTTTAAAAATGTAATATTTCATTTGGGTATCTTCAAATCTGAGTTATTATAAATTTCTTGACGATTCTTTTGTATTATAAAGATTTATTGTGTGCAAAAATACAAACTTCTATGTAGTTCTTAATCAATAGTGTTGAAACAATTCCTAGTTTTTGTCTTCATTGATCTGTATTGTAGTTTCTGAGGATCTTAATGTAAAAATCTTGGATCAAAGTTGTGATCTTTTGGATCAAATCTGAACTATGATTTGATGGAAGGAACCGAAGTAGGAATTTTTGTGCTTGGATTTATTTATTGACGTAATTCAGATTTCCATTCTATTGTTTTATTCAAATGATGAAGTGAGTTTCATTTAACTATTTGCAGAAATTAGGAGCTCTTTATGTTACTCCCTCCGTCTCATATTAACAGTCGTGGTTACTAAATATAGTTGTATCAAATTATTTGTCATTTTAGAAGTTCTAAGACAAAATTGATTATTGTTTTTCCTTTTTTACCCTCAGTAATAATTGTTCTCGAAGATGGAGATAATACATAAATAGAATAAATATTCAATGAACAGAAATTTTATCTTAAGACATAAATAAGGGTATAATAGTCTAACCCCTTTCCTAATTAATGTTTCTTAAGGGGCGTGTAAAAAAAAATACGACAGATAATATGAGACAGAGGGAGTACCTACAACGGACATGAGATAACAACTAGTCACTGTGTCCCATAATTTCTGTTCCTTTTTTGCTCTCCAAGAGTCAAAGACAAATTATCTTTATTTTAACTTTAATTTATCTTATTTTGGTATTTAGATATACTTTTTGGTGTAGTTTAAAATTTTATTTCAAAGAATGAGTTAATCTATGTCTGCCTGTCTGGTTCAAGTCTAACCTTGGTCACTTTTACCATCCAACAAAGGAAAGGTACTAAGATTATGCTTAGCATTTAAGTTTCGTGCTAAGCATCTTGCTTATGCTTCATACTTTAGTTTATTTTATTTTTTTGATAAGGTAAGTAAAAATTCTCTCTCCTTGGTTGCATAACTTGTAAAGAAAAAGCCTTCCATCAAATATGTTATCTTTTATACAAACGTTTATTTATGTACTTTAAGACAATTCAAGAAAGAGAAGTTAGTTTTTTTCAGGCTTTGGCCAAATGGTTGAGGTCTTCTGATCTGACTGAGTTGGAATTGCATCTCGATCCGAGTTACATGCTGTTAATGCACACATTTTTTTTAAGCTTAGATCATATTCCAACAATCATATTTGGTATGCTCAATTGTCCAATTTGTTTGATTTCATAATTCCATAATTGAAAAGCTTAAGGGAGAATAGGGGATGAGCTATATGAAGGACATGCTGAGTGTGGTAGGCAAATTGACACATTGGACAAAGAAAAAGACTGAGAGAGAAGTTTCACCTTATTTTGTGAACTTTCATTTGTTAGCATAAAGCAGGTACAGGATAAAATTTCTAGTTTTCATCTGTCAAATATGATTCTGTCTTCCCTGCCAAAAAATGATAATGATTTATGTTCTTTAGGACCATGCAATTCCTCAAAGCCAAGAAAATGAATTTGTTTTCTGGATGAATTTCTGATAGTATAATATTATTTATAGTTGTGTGCGTCTAACTTATCGTTTTCTTCAATCCAACACCTTAGTTATGTTTTGTTACACAAAGGAATGATTAAGTATAACTTTTTTTAACAAAATAATTAATTGTTCATAACAACCATAGGACTGGCGACATTTTTGAAACTTATTGTGAAACTGTTAACGTGAAAAGATATATAACAACATTATGGTTGATGGTCAATGCTCATTTTATCTAAAAATGGGTAATGTTGATTCTCTGGCGCTTTAAATGCTTATCTTTTAGTCTCTTAATTCCAGTCCCTTTTATGATTATACATGAACTTTTGGGGTATCATAGATTACCTAAAATTATGTGAATGGAACAACTTCTTTTCCATATAGATAATGGATGCAACAATATCAGTTGTTACAAATACGTTGAGAGATGCATCTGATTGGGTGACATGGATATCCGAGGCTCCATTTGCAAGAGCTGTGGTGTTTGGAGTTAACATTGGAGGTAATTTTCCCTATCCATAAAAAAATTGCTATTGCTGTTAAACTAGATGGGAGGTGTTTTCCCTGTACATAAAATTGCTATTGTTGTTAAACTAGATGGGAGGTATTTTCCCTATCCATAAAAAAATTGCTATTGCTGTTAAACTAGATGGGAGGTGTTTTCCCTGTACATAAAATTGCTATTGTTGTTAAACTAGATGGGAGGTATTTTCCCTATCCATAAAAAAATGCTATTGCTTTCAAACTAGATGGGAGGTATTTTACCTATCCATAAAAAATTTGCTATTGGTTGTTAAACTAGATGATGACTTGTGAGAAGACGTACTCTTGATCCTGCAGGGCATCTATTTGTGGAGGGTCTTCTCCTTGTAGTCATCCTTTTCCTACTATCGCAGAAAAGTTATAAACCACCTAAAAGACCGTTGACAAAGAAGGTTAGTCCCTTGTGTTATTCCACCAGTTCTATCTTTGTTTCTCTGTTAGTCCATCTTTTGTTCTTTCTCGCTCCCTCTCTTTGATTTTCTCATACTTTTTGGGACTGAGGCGCAGTAGTTGTTGTTTGTTTGTTTGATTTGCTCATTCATATGAACAGAATTGCCTCCATGGTCAAGTTCTAATCGGTATTTGATTGCTCTTCCTCATTACCAAGATGATGATGTGCTTAAAAGGAGAATTATTGTATTTATGATGCACTCCCATTTTCCAGTTTCTGATTTGTGTAGTTAAATGATTATCTTATTGGAAAGTGATCAAGGCAGGGTTTCACACTTTAGCCAGTTCTTCTCTTTAAAAGTTGCAGAAAGTCCTATGCTTGATGTGGGCCAGAAAAGATAATAAACTTAAAAAAGTTTTACATTCTTAGAAGAATAGCATAAAAAGCTGCTGCTGTAACGCTCTCTCAAAGTAGAACCTAACTTAAAGATGTCCAACTCTTCTTTCTCCATCCTATGCTCTAAGCTCTAAGGTGCTTGGGCAATGACCTTGAACTTGAAAATTAAAGAGCTCCAACATTCTATATTTTTTAGGAATCTTTAATCTTGACCATTGTATAGCGGTTGGTGCCAATATAATCCCCGCATTTTGGTATTCATAGATAGGAGGTAGGCTTCTCACTTACATGTGTACAAGTCTTTCCTTGGCGTTACTATTAATGCTGGGTCCGTCCATACTTTATGTACTATTTGATAATGTTTTGATATTTATTGGCCCAAGTGATTGTTAAAATTAAAAATAAAATATGTTATTGTTTATAGCGTGTCAGTATTTGTATGTAAGTTTTCTATCTTCTATGCAACATGCTACATTCAAGCTGATGAACGTGTGTATGTGCTTCGGTTTTTAGGAAATAGATGAGCTATGTGATGAATGGGTCCCAGAACCTCTTATTCCCACCATTACAGATGAGATGAAATCGGAGCCTCCAGTACTTGAAAGGTGGAAATACTCTTTTTTTATCATTTGAAAAGCAAAGAATATACATTCTTGTTAGACAAGTCAGTGTTCTACACATTTTGTCTAATTATGCCTTTTACCACTGTAAGATTCTGTTCCTCGCTTAAGTGGGAGAAACCAGCCAAAGAATATAGGAACTAATTCAAATGCCATGCCACTGACTTTGGGAGCCACATAGAGGAATCCCTTTTTCTTATGGTCTGTTGATCCTGACTGGTCCTAAGAATTACGTTAGAACATCAACGAGGGTATTCAGAGAACTTTGAGAATTGATTTAAGGCTTTGGTTCCTCTTATTAAGGATTTGGGCTCAAACTTTTTAGGTCAAAGAGGACGAGACCCAAAGGGATGGAACTCAATGAGTTGATTGGGATACTAGAAAAGAGCCACTGAACCTGAGTTCACAAGAGGAGAAAAATCTAGATAAGCGCTAATTGTGTAACACATCTACCTATGCCCTTTTTGGTTTTTAGAATTAAAAAGAGAATATATGCAGGTTTGGCTTGTTATTTTAATCAGTACAAAAAGTTAATAACTCCTGTACCTCCTATTTCATTCGATAAGCATCTAGGAGGATGCAAATCAGTACAAAAAGTTAAAACATATGCAAATTTGGAGCGAGATTAGCTTATTTGCTTCTTCTACTCGAGCTTACTCAGGCTATAAAAGTTGTAAGTCAAGTTTATGAAACCCCCATATTTCTATGGTTGTAGTTTCTATTTGCTTGCGTTCTCTCGTTTATCTAATTGCTTACAAGTTTTATTAATGCAGCGCTGCAGGTCCTCATACAACTGTTAATGGCAAGGAAGTAGTAAATTTTACTTCAGCCAATTACCTCGGATTATTAGGAAATGAAAAGTTACTCGTAAGAAACCCTTCTCTCTTGAACATTTTGAATTGTAATTTGGTTCAAGGTTATCATTGCCTGATGTCGTATATCAGGAGACATGCACCAGGGCATTGGAGAAATATGGAGTAGGTTCTTGTGGTCCTCGTGGATTCTATGGAACAATTGGTATAATTTGTGATATTCATAAATAGGGAGAGTTAATTTTCTTCTGCTCTATTTCCAACCTTCCTCTTTCTCGCCCAACCTTATCATTCTTTATTTCATACAGATGTTCACCTTGATTGTGAGGCCAGGATAGCCAAGTTTCTTGGAACTCCTGATTCTATACTCTACTCTTATGGACTTTCTACCATGTTCAGTGCAATTCCAGCATTTTGCAAGAAGGGAGATGTCATTGTTGCGTAAGTTCATCATTCTTTGCACGTTGATCATAGGTATTTTCTTCAATTTTTCTTTTTTTTTAAAGATGAGCTCAGGCTGTAGAATAGATACATCCTCATACAGTATGAAGTATCTTTTCTTGGAGTAGGAGGAAGGGATTATGGAGGAACCAGGCTGTAGAATAGATATATCCTTACAGAGGATGAAATATCTTTTATTGGGGGTAGGAGAAAGGGATTATGGAGGAACCAGTCTGTAGAGTAAAATGAAACATATTAGCATTTCATGAATTAATTCTCATTTTCAACCATGACTTTTGCTTGCTTAGGGATGAAGGTGTGCATTGGGGAATACAAAATGGACTTCAGCTCTCTAGAAGTACAATCATATACTTCAAGCACAATGATATGGAGTCCTTGAGAAATACATTGGAGAAAGTCACTCAAGAAAACAAGCGAGCTAAAAAACTTAGGCGATATATTGTTGTTGAAGCAGTGTATCAGGTATCTTCTTTTTTATTATTTAGTTGTGTCAAAGCTGTATGTCGTAGAACTGCCTGGACCATGATCACCTCTTCTCAATTCACTAAGAAGATTATTCTTTAATTTCATTTGTTTCTTCAACATCTAGAATTCTGGTCAAGTCGCTCCATTGGATGAAATCATCAAACTGAAGGAAAACTACAGATTCCGGGTATTGTTGGATGAAAGCAATTCCTTGGGTGTGCTTGGCAGTTCCGGTAAAGGTCTAACAGAACATTACAATGTTCCGGTAATGCCACTCAATTGATAGCCGTCTTGTATTATTCTGGATTTGTATTTTCTGTATGTATAACCTTAATCAGGTTATCCTTTTTGCAGGTCGACAAGATAGATATCATTACTGCTTCCATGGGACATGCATTGGCCACAGAGGGAGGATTTTGCACCGGGAGTACAAGAGTCATTGAACACCAGGTACTAAAAATGTGATTGGTATAGTCACACTTCCCTTCTCTTCCAAAAAAAAAATCTTGTCACTGTCTCCTGTTTATTTTTCCCGATTAAGCCGGTTTTCTTTTGTTTGGCAGCGCCTCAGTAGTTCTGGTTACGTGTTTTCTGCTTCTCTGCCTCCATATCTAGCAAGTGCTGCAATCAAAGCTTTTGATATCCTGGAAGTAAATCCTGACCTTATCACAAAATTGAGGGAAAACATTAAGATACTGTTTAAAGGTATTTTCCCTTACACAAAGTAATCAGTGGTTGCTGGAAGATATCAACTTATTACCTTGTGTGGTTGCAGGTCTATCAGATATTAAAGGGCTGGAAATAGCGAGTGATCCACTCTCTCCCATAGTTTTTCTAAGACTAAACAAGTCCATGGGTTCCACAAACAGTGACCTAAAACTGCTAGAAGATATCGCGGATCGTGTAAGTCATAATCTGTGTTCAACTTTCAAGTTGTAGCCGTGTTTTCTTCTTATTCTTATTCTCATACACATCCTAATAGATTCTCCACAAAATATTGTCATTTGGCAGGTATTGAAGGAAGATTCTGTTTTTGTTGTCACTTCAAAGAGATCGACACTTGATAAATGTAAGTTGCCAGTTGGGCTTCGATTGTTTGTCTCAGCAGGGCACTCAGAATCTGATATGAAGAAAGCTAGTGAATCGTTGAAGAGAGTCGCAGCTTCACTATTGACCGATCAGAGCTAGAAGTGAGGTTCATCGTCTTTTAAGTGTCTGATATGTGAGCTGAAGCGAAAATAGGGCAGAAGTATTCTAGTATTCAAATAGGTGAACATTCTTTTTTAACTTTTTATGTCCATTAGACTTTGCATGTCAACTATAATATATTAGATAGATCAAGATTTACTTCTTGAGGTTGCAATGTTGCAAGGCTACAAGGCCTGAAAAGTCAGTTCTCTTGATTAATATTGTGCTTCCTGTAGCTGTGTTAATCTTTTTTTTTTTTTTTAAATCTCCCTTTCTTACCGATTATAAAGAAAATAGAAGAGGATAGAATGTTGGGATCTTGTAGTTGACTGTATAGACATGTTATTTCTTATTGTATTGTTAAGATATACAGTATCTTTTTGGTCTAGATTCTAGAAGTGATTAATCTCAAATTTTTATAGCTATCTTATCGTATAGAGGAAGTAAAGGGCTAATATTTTGGAAATATTGAGTAAATATCATATGGCCTTTACTGAAGCATAATTATGGAAAATGACTTATTTTATTAAAATGTTTTTATGAAAAATGTTTTTCGGTGTTTGATTGAAGAGTGAAAACTATTTTTTGAAAATTTTATTTATTAAAGAATGATAATAATATTAGCATATCACATAGCGTTTTGATGAGATTTTCGAGTATTAAAGGTCGATAATAACGTCTAATAGCCCCGCCCAAGTTATAACAAAAATGGGCCCATATTTTAAAGCGGTATTTACAATAGTGGGCCGGTCTGGCAACTAGTTTATAAAAATTGGTCCTAACTCGCTTATTCTTACTAGGTTTAGCCCAATTTATATATATTTTGAATTTTTTTAAGCACTGCTAAAAACCTATATTTTCTCTTTCCCAACCGTCTATCCCCCCCCCCCCCCC